GGAAAAAAAATAGCGTGACCATGGTCTCGGACCTCGAGACGTTTGCTTAAACGGAAACGCCCGACCTACATTCTCAAAATGCTAAGAAAAACGATACTATTCAAAACAGCCCGACAAATCCTTCCGTTCTCAACCCTTGCTACATTTGTCTTTCGAAAGGATTTAACTTTTGAGGAAGCTATTAGACTGAGGGGGTGTTTGGTTCGGCTTTGTGAAGGAGCTTTGAGCCTCCAAAGCCCTTTGGGGGAATTATGGAGTGTTTGGCAAATTATTTTTGGAACTCTTTGGCTAAATGTTGGCCTTCTCAAGGATGAAAGCTCAAGGCACCCCCTAGGGTGCCTTGATCTTTCAGCATTCTCGGAATGCTAATACCTCAATTAATGAAAATATGTTAGTTGCCTTTTTTGCCCTCAAAATTTGTCTAAAAATCCACTTTTGCCCATTTAAAAAAGAGAAACCCTAGTCTTCTTGTCCCGTCACCTCCTCACTCTCTTTTCTTTCGCTCAGTCACGCTCACCTCCCTTGCTCACCTCGCTCATCGATCTCCCTCGCTTGACTCGTGATGCCTCGCTCGCCGACCTCGCCTCACTCTCCGGCCTCGCGTCGCCTCCTTTCCGGCCTCACGTCGCCTTGCTCGCCGGCCTCTTGTCGCCGCCTCGCGTCGCCTCCTCGCTCGTCGACCTCCCTCGCTCGGCTTGCCGCGACTCATTCGACGACCTCGCCTCACTCTCTGGCCTCGCCTCGCCTTGCTTGCCTGCCTCCTCGCTCGTTGAACTCTCTCGCTCGGCTCATCGCGCCTCGCTTGGCTCGTCGCGCCTCGCTTGGCGACCTCGCCTCACTCTCCGGCCTCGCCTCGCCGGCCTCGCCTTGCCTCCTCGCTAGCCTCGCCTTGCCTTGTCTCCTTGCTCAGGTACGCTTAATTTGGGTATTATTTATTATTCTTGGTGATTACGGTTCTGAATTATTTGGGGCAAATCAAATTCTGAGGGAGGATGTTCGTCAATGACATGCTAATGTCTATGTTATTGAGATGGAACTCCAATATTTGATGCTTTCTGTGACTTTGAACTCCAATTCAAACTAGGATGAAGCTTTTTGTTGCTAAACATCTGTTCAACTCTGTTCGTGACGACTTTGCATCAATCTTGAGCTATGAGCTATTAGCTCAGTTGTTGTTGATTGATGTTCATTTAGTTTCATTTGTGTTTAGCATGGTTGAGTCCGAAGCTTGATTCTAAGTCATGCACTAGATTTCGATGTAGCTAGTCACTGAAGCATGTTAGGATGAGTATATTAACATATAGAAGTGTTCTGAATGTTGTGGTTCTGGTTCAGCCTTTAGCTCAGACGATGAAGCGAACAAATTACAGAAGTGCCTCAAATTGAAGCATGTCAAATACTTCACTCCACCAAGCTTTCAAATGAAATTTAATTGAGTTCATATGATGATTTAGAAAATATTGGCTTTCTAAGTCAGCGTAGATCCTAATAGTTCATTACACTGGTTTATAGGTTAGACCAATGTAATTCATGGACCCTTTGTCCGCGTTTTCCAGTAATCATTAGAATTGCCTTAATTATGAGTATGGCACAAATTTTTAATTGGCAACACAACTACTTTGTGAGTAACTGAGTATAATTTCCTCAGTCACTCTTCAAGTTTGTTGAAAACATAGTTCCGATTTTCTTGGTTGAAAAATGTACAGGTTGTTAACAAATCCTATAGACGAGCTTTTGCAACATTTGGATGGCTTTGTTTTGTTGAAAAAGAACGATCTTTTGATGTGATTTTCTTGGTGGAATGACTTTACTAGTAGATGGCAACTAAGGCATTTTGGAGCACGGAAGATGTAGAAACCTTTTGTAAGTTGTGCGTTGAACAAATTGAAAAAGGCAATCGTCCGGCAAACAACAAAAGGGATGGATGGACAGTCATTATTAGCAAGTTTGAGGAGCTAACAGGTAAAAAATATGATAAAAATCAAAAGAAGAGTAAGTGGGATAATCTTAAGGAAGAATGGAAAAGACAGAGGACATTGGTGTACAATGAAACGAGACTAGGATGGGATTCAAGGAAGAAAACCGTTGATGCGAGTGATGAATGGTGGGAGAAAAAAATTCAGGTTTTTATCTCTTTCTCTTTTACTTTTGTGTTTAGTTCATTTTAAATGATACAACTTACGTAAATGTTATATTATAACAGGCCAATCCTAAGCTTAAGACTTTTAGGACGAAAGGCATACATCATGATCTTGCAGCTTTGTTAGATAGGATGTTCAGAGAGACTGTTGCTAATGGAGGAATCACATGGACTCCTGGGCAAGGTTTACGTATTGATGAGGATCTTGTTGAGGTCACACAACCTAGTATCGGTGATGGTGTAGGATCTACTAATGAAAATTTGGAGTCTCAAGCGGATGAAACCGTTGAACCAATTGGAACTCAGAGCCATAAAAGAGCTGCACATACTTCAATGAGGCAAGCTCGAGGAAAGAAAGAAAAGAGATTGACCACGGCACAGCAGCTTGGAATGCAAATTAGCAGGCTTTGTTCAGCTGTTGAATAAAGGAGCGCTGCTGCTGCATCATCTCAAGCAAATGAGAGATACGGTCCTTACAAGGACCTTATAAATATGCTGGATACAATACCTGAAATTGTGCAAGATGAAAAGTTATACTTTTTTGCAATCTCTCATTTTAAGGAAAAGAAAGACAATAAGCAGGTCTTTATGAGCTTGAAGGATGATGCACTAAAAGTCAAGCATCTCAAGTATGAGTTTGAAGAGAGTCATAGCTAGGATGTTAGCATCTTATTTGAACTCTTCGGTATGCTACTTTGTTTTCATGTGAGACTTGTATTTGCATTATGTGTGAACCTAATTTCTATTTATGTTTTAATTTGAGAACTGTTTTCTAATGGTATTCTCTTCATGTGGTTTAGTTTGCATATATATGATGGTTGATATTGTTTCTCTTGATGGATGATCAAGATTGTTTATTGTTTCTCTTACACTCTAATGCATCTATATATTGTTACTTTAAGCAGTTATGGATGATTCTCTTGAAAGGGAAAATCGTGAAAAAGAGAAAACTGAATATTAGGATCTCTTCTCGGTCGCAACAGCTTCAGTTGGTTATCAAGCAATGTACTTTTGTAAGGAACCTCACATGACCTCATTGTATACAGGTGATGCATGGTTAAGAGAATTGATGGACGAAAAAGTTCATCCGATAAGGTGTTATCATATGTTTAGAATGCACAAGGATGTATTTAATAATTTAACGCATGACTTGATAACAAGCTATGGTCTTCAAGGATCTAGAAATACTGATGTTGCAGAAATGGTTGGTATGTTTCTTCATATTTTGGGACATGGTATATGCAATAGGTTAGCACAAGAGCGCTTTCAACGCTCTGGAGAAACCATAAGTAGTCACTTTAGCTTAGTTTTAGATAAAGTATGTGATATGTGAAAAGATTTGATCCAACCAACTTATCGGCAATTTAAGGAAGTTCCGGAGAAGATCAAGAAAGATCGACGATTTTATCCATATTTTAAGGTAAGTTACTATTGTACAATATAAAGAAAAAACTAAATGTAAATCACGTAATATTTCGTTCTTTGTTTTTAGGATTGTATTGGAGCTATGGATGGTACGCATATCCCAGCGATGGTACCCACATACGATCAAATTCGTTTTATTGATCGAAAAGGAACGACGACTCAAAATGTGTTAGCCATATGTAATTTTAACATGGAATTTATCTATGCTTGCGCCGGTTGGGAGGGACAAGCTCATGATACCCGTATCTTCTATGAAGTCACTTGAAGACATGATGCACAATTTCCTCATCCTCTTCCAGGTTTGTTAATTAATTGTTTAGGTACATCCATATGTATCTATATGGCATATGTTGATTAAATTTTCATTATATTTGTGTAGGTAAATATTATTTAGTAGATGTTAGATATCCAAATCTCACGGGTTATTTGGGGCCATATAAAAATGTTAGATATCATTTGCCAGAGTTTCGACAAGATCCTACACCAACAGGGTATCGAGAAGTGTTCAATCGTGCCCATTCCTCTCTACAGTCGGTAATTGAGCGAGCCTTTGGTGTTTTAAAAAATAAGTGGAAGATTCTGACAAATATGCCATGTTATCCGTATGAAAAGCAAGTGCAAATTGTCATAGCGACAATGGCTTTGCACAATTATATACGAAGAAATGCCGTGATCGATACGGATTTTGAAAATGCAGAATTGGATCCCGATTATGGATATTCAGTTGATCATGATGATGTAAATGAGGGGATGAGTGATTTAAATGATAATGTATCTTCTGACATGGTACGTTTACGTGATGAAATAGCCATGAGTTTACAAAGTCGTTAAAGATGATTGTAATATTTAAGGATAATGTATTTCATTCTTAGGGACATGTGATGTGTATTATAATGAAATGACTCCTTTTTTTTTTAAAATTTGTTAATATATTTCTATTATGTTATTCTCGTCGCGAAAACATAAAAGTTACCGTCATTATTTTTTTTACTTCAATTTTAAACAATTAAAATTTAAAAAAACATAAATTGGTTACGTCAAAGGACTTTCCAAATATATGTTTACCAAACAGCTTTCAATTTCCCAAAGCACTTTTCAATGGATGTTTGCCAAACAGTCCTGCATTTTTCTAAAGCCCTTTGTGCTAAATATTTTTTTATTTGGCCAAAGGCTTTTCCCAAATGCCGAACCAAACGGGCCTTGAACATTGGTTGAAATCCGTTCTCATCATAAGTTTGACTCGACGGTCAAAATCAAGATGTCTTTAGAGGAGGGAAAGGAAGAAGAAGAAGAAGGCCCAGGCCCAAAAGGACTCCCGGACCCGGGTCTTAGGTTATCCGGATCCAACCCCGGGAGGGTGGGAAATGACTCCGAAGTCCGAACCCGGTCCGGACCCGGGTCAGCCTGCCTTCTTTGCCAACAAGAAACCTTTCGAAAGCTCTTTATTGCGCAGAAAGGAAAAAGCTTTCTTCGCAGCAGAAGCAGCGGACGCGAGACCTCAGCCAAATTCCTCGCATTTCCCCTTCCTCGCGATCCATCTGAGCTCGCCATCGCAATCCTGATCGTGTTCGCCCCTCTCGCTCGAGGCCGAGATCCGGTGATCTCTCTCGCTCTCGCTCTCTGATTGTGTGCGTGTGCGTGAGTCCGATTGATAGCGATTGATGGGTCCGTTTCGTGTTCAGTGACGCGGCCTCCTCCTTTTTCTTGCCTCGCAGATTCGCCATGGGAGACAGTCAGTACTCTTTCTCGCTCACCACCTTCAGGTGTGTCCGCGCCGCCGGCGAAGCCGGGCCCCTCCTAGTCGTCGCCGGTTTTCTTTTGTTTGCATTGGGTCGTGTCTTTTTCTTTGATTTTCGTGAGTTTGATTTCGTTCCGTGTTGGCGATGGAGCAGTCCTTCCGGGAAGCTCGTGCAGATTGAGCACGCCCTAACGGCGGTGGGTTCCGGTCAGACGTCTCTCGGGATCAAAGGTGAGTTCCCCCAGCTCCTTTATGTTTGTTCCTGTCGGTTGAGTGCTTTTTCTTCGGTACGTGAGAGCCTTTTGCCATGGGAAATTAAGCATCGTGAGAAGGCCCGCACGGAGTCTAGGGAAGCTTTCTTAGCTGGGATTCTGATAATACTCAGCTTCGGTTCAGCTGTACCGCCATTGGGTTTGATTAGTTATGTGTTAGTGTCGCGATGTTCAGCATAGAGAAAATTGTAAAACGCCACTTGGCTGTTAGTGGGCGTCAGTAAACAAGTTCCAACGTGTAGGTATTGCCATTGAAGAGTTCCTTATGTTTTGTTTGTGCAATTTTCACTTGGACAAAGATCGAATGATTGCATTACTTTTTCCGGTGTGAAATTTGGCATTTTAGACTTGATTGATCATTTCGAGATAGGCCATTTGACCTGAATATCCGTGGGGGCTATAAATAGTTCTTGGCAGTCAATAGCACCGGAAGGGTTGAGTTCTTTAAGTTTCATTCTCTTTCTCATTCCCTTTTGCGGCCAACATTTGTGTATATATTTTTATTATAAATCCTAATATGCAATATTTTTCTGGCCCTAATCTGATCTATATGACTGCAGCTGCTAATGGTGTTGTTATTGCGACGGAAAAGAAGCTTCCCTCTATATTGGTGGATGAAACTTCCGTAAGTGACTCTCGGTACACCTTTTATGTTCTTTTTGTTTCTTTTGAAGGACTGACTTTTTTTTTATCTAAGTAATATTTGTCTCATGCCTGCTGGTTATGTTTGGACTTGTCTTCATTTTCTTCTTTCCATATTCCTTATGCCCTCAATGAAATCTGCCTCTTTGGATGGTTGTAATAGGTCCTTGCAAATTTCTGATGAATAAGTTGGTAGCTAAAGAACTTTCTTGAAGATAGAGAATTTATGTGAAGAAGCTGCAGACAGTGTCAAGGCTTTTTAATACCTTAGAGGGATAATTGGTCCCAACTCCTAAGAACTTAGTTTATAGTTTTGGTTTGTCCTTTTATGCAAGGCACTAGAATCTATGTCCTGCTTTTGGTTAACGTCTCCACTAGGTGGATGGCTTTCCCTCCAATGCTTTACTTATGAAGGGGTTGTCTCCTTGGCACCTTTGATACTGCGAATGTTATCTATTTGCAAAATGGTAAACGAGATCACACTTGTATCTGTTGTAATTGCTATTATGGCCTTATGTGTTTGCTTTTTGTTCCTTGATTCTTTAACTCTGGACCTTCACATTCTTTAAATCAATTCTATATAGTTGTTGTCTAATCATTTTTCTATCTATTCTGCTAAATGTTATCGTTTTTACTCTTGTCAGGTTCAAAAGATACAGTGCCTGACACCAAATATCGGAGTTGTTTACAGGTTTGTTTCCTCAATGCTTTTTCATTGTTGCAAGCCTTTTGTTTTTGGGCCCTGTTTCTGATGGAAGTATCATCATGGAGCATCCGGCTCTGTGGCAATATGAGTCTGTTTAAAGTGGAGGGGGCAACGTGAGAATTAGTTTTTTAATGGGAAAATCATACTAATGTAAAGCTCAGGGAATGTAATATCTCCAGTTATGCTCATATTGCTTTTGTAGGAAGATTAAGACATGACATGGTATATTTTGACTTTACTGTGAAGGAATAATCTGCTAAAGAAATATTCTTCCAGTTCTGCTCTGGAAAGCAGATTTGGCCGCTCTTCTCTGGCACCTTTTGAGAATATATGTATATAACATACTTTTGCAAAGCAAAAGAAGATTGGTTCAGTACATACAATACAATGAAGAAATGTGGGCTTTTGGAAGACAAAAATGCAAGGATTGCACTTTGTTTCCCTTATTTGTAATGAAATTGGAAATTAGTGTTTATCTGAATTTTACAACTTCAGTCAAGCAACACTTAGGAAGTATTTTGCACTATTCCTTTTCCTACTTGACATGCTCTATAGGTTGCTCTCTTTGGTCACTGATTTATCTTGTCTTTTTATCACCATTCCTGTTGCAGTGGCATGGGTCCAGATTTTCGAGTCTTAGTTCGGAAAAGCAGGAAACAGGCAGAACAGTATCACAGGTTATATAAGGTACCTCTTTGCATTCTGAAGAGTGATCCTCTTTTGTTCAATCAAAATAGTTGGCAAGCCAGCCATTCTTTTGTGTTGAGACCAAGGCTTGTTCTGACCTATATTTTGTTCATATGTAACCCAAGCAAGCATAGTATGGTTTCATAAAACAACAATCCACAGTTCACACGAAATCTAAGGATTATAATATCATAGAAGGACATTCTTGTGCTATGTAAGTTGGTTATTCATCTTTTATTCTTTTTGTAGGGGTACACATATGAGAGAGCAATCAGTATTTATTGTGGAACCTGTACATTTGTGTAGTTTGTTATTTATTATCAACATCTATCACGATAATCTAGAAAACACACTTATGGTACCTTTTAATTCACAAGATAGAAAAGAATTTTTGAGCTGCTTCTTGAGAATTATCTATTGTATGTTTCTGTTTTTATTTTGTAAATGCATTTAACTTCTTCAGTTTTTTGTGCCTTCTGCTCTTGCAAGTTCACCAGCAGCACTAGCTGCTGTAACTTTTAAAAGTGTGATTGTAAAGCACTCCTAAATAGACATGAGTGGGAAAGATATAAGTTTTTGTTGCAATGTTATGCTATCATTGACCATTCTTACTTTAAATGTAGGAACCCATACCAGTCACGCAACTAGTGAGGGAGACTGCAGCTGTCATGCAGGAGTTTACTCAGTCGGGGTAAATGAGCTATTTTATAGAGTGATGCTGTATTTGTTCTTTTCCATATTCGTTGTCGTTTAATGGAAGATTTAGTTGAGCCTAACATGATGTGCATACCTTAAAGAAAGTATGTTTGTTGATTTTATAATGGATATCGACCTTGCAAAGTTTTCATTGTTCTTTTGATCTTGAATGCCATTTCTTACATGGCCTTCCCTTTTCGTCTGTCCTCTTTTGAAGTGGTGTGAGGCCTTTTGGAGTATCTCTTCTGGTTGCTGGATTTGATGATAATGGTCCTCAATTGTATCAGGTATTTTGTGTCCTATTATGAGATTCTGCAGTGTTTTAATGACGGTTATATATTTAGTTAATCTGCTTTATAGTGTGCGACTGGGAAAGTGGATGTGAGAATACCCCTGTAATATGATGAATGAATACCTCTCATCATTGATCCACCTCTAATTAACATGTGAGTCAAGTTTAATATGTGTAATGGGGGTCTAGTCTGTCCATGACAAGATTGGCGGTGTTCAGTAATTTTCTTCAATATTTTATTACTTTAACATCAAACAATTATTCTGAAGTTGTCACATTGATTAAAATGCCTCAAAGAACATTTCCATACATGGCGGCAGATTTGTTTTTAAGTATGTAATGGGTGTTAGATTGTATATCTTTTCAATATCTTATCTATACTGGAGTTCAACATGATCGCAGTAAACTGGAAGAGTTGAGGATTGGGTCAGTGGAGACAAGGGTAATGGTGTTGGAGAAGTCATGAACGATGGAGTGGTTGTCATTGGAAGAGTGGGCAGCCTTGTCCTTGGCTTTGGCTTCGCCAGCCATGGTGATTGGATTTTGGGAGGATGAAGTTCCACGAGGAGAGAGAGAGATAGGGTTTGGTGTACGGTGTTGTTTTGGCCATATTTCCTGTCATATTTGTAATGTTGGATCTTTAATCCTTTACAAAAGTCACGTAGGAGGCGTTAATAATTAAATTAAGTAGGATTTTCTGGTGAGCCAAGTTGCTGGAGTAACTTAAATGATCGAATTTTAAAAGTTTTAGAATCAAAGTGATCAATTGAAAATTGTCGGTACTAAATGGAGTGCTGGGTGATAGTTTTGACACTTCTAGTGTATTTTTTCTCAGAATATTCTATCAATCTTGAGAGCTTTGTACCGCTTCCTGAACTTCAAGACATCCATTGTTGGAATATGCATATCCCAGCAATCACAGTTAGAAGCATAAAAGAATGCTCATTTAACCATCTTGTAAACAGAAACGATAGTGTTTTATTACCTTGTATGTGGTTAATTAGAACTACCATGAAGTACTTGTTGCTGTGCACTTATAGGTCGATCCATCTGGTTCATATTTCTCTTGGAAAGCTTCAGCAATGGGAAAGAATGTTTCAAATGCGAAGACATTTCTTGAGAAGAGGTAATAAAATGTAGTAGCTATTGGAATGTCTTCTGATTTTTTCTAACTGTATTTCTGATTATTATTAATATCATGGAATCGTTCACTGGAAGATACAGCAAATAGTCTTCATTTTCTGTATGACTCGATCTTTAGCCAAGCTTTATATCATTGCATGAACTATGCAAAAATGAGATCTTTGTACTGTGGCAGGTAGATGCTTTAAAAAATCCGTTCATTGTTATCTTTTTCCTTTAAATGTAAACTTGCATGATTGACATGATTTGAGTCAAGAGGCATACAACTCTTGCCCATGCCCCTCCGCATGTGCTTATTTAATGTTTTCTATGCCATTCAATCGTGTAACAAATGTTTTCTGTCTGAATCCTGATAGGTTATTCTGATTGCTTCATCTCTCTCTTCATCTATATTCTGAACTAATTTTGTTCCAATGGCCATGAAGAGGCAGGATAACTGATATTAATATTCCCTTTTTCCCGTTAAAATATCAGCTTGCTACTGTAGTTGGTAACTTAAGGACGAATTTTAAGAGATTCTGTCAAAAGCCTAATTGAATTAGAACGGCTGCAGCAGTGATGTATGAGGAGATGGTATCAACAGTCTGGATTGTTAGAGCTGTATTTATGGAGTATCGAGTGAACCTTGCATTCTTTCACCAACCTTAGATTGTAGTAGATCACTCTCCACAGACCAGTCTACTATCCTGAAAATTGATTATGCGCTCGAAAGGTTTACTTTTAGAAACTTTTGGACCACTCAATGTATAATCATTTATCTTCTGAACTTCCTTGGTTGTTTGTTTGCTGAGTCCTGTGACATCTTACAAGAAGAGTTAAAACAGATAGAGTGATTTACGAAATGTGATGTGTGTCAATAGTATTATGATTCTCTAAAAAGGTTCCAAAATGGTAGCTTGAAAAACCTTCTATCTGATGGTTGTTGAAACCCTAGCCAGTGTCCACTGTACTACTAAGGCAGAGAGTGGGAAAATATTCATCACGTGTAGGAATTATGTTAATCACTCTAAAAGGAACGACATCTTGTTGTGTTGTCACTCCTGTTGGTTCTGAATAAGTGAGCTGTAAGTGCCGCAATTTTCAAAGGTATGGAAGTTTAGCAGGGTTCATCGTATTGAATCTACTCATAAACTTCAGGGTTTGGCTGGTCGTTTCACATTTCTCTTTGGTATTGTTTTAAGGCGACGTGTGAATGTCCTGATGAAGATTATCTTCTGTCTATAAAATTATACCGTAAGATCTTTTTTCTGATGACATAACTTTATTATATGGACTCCCTTGATGACAAGAGTAAGCTCCTTGGGTATTGTAGGTACACTGATGATATGGAGCTTGATGATGCCGTTCACACAGCTATTCTTACACTGAAGGAAGGGTAAGTGATATTCTTTTTTCCTTTACCTTGAGACTTTGTTTAACATGCAATAACTTATGATTCCAGAGATAGTGTCTAGTGCAAATACTCTGTGGGGAATGTTGCGGTAGTATTCTGTTTCTCACTTCTAATTCCAATGATGGCAGTTGTTTTAATGTTTGTCTGTCTGATTCCTTTGGCTAGGATTCATTTGATTGGTTAGGGCGAACAATGAGATCTTTTCGCTGTTAAGGCATTTAGATGTGCTGATCCTATTACTTTTTGGTTTCTTCGGGTCCTTTTTTGATACTGGAGACTAGAAAACCCACGGGGCTTCACAGCTTAATGTTTACGAGAATGAGAGAAATTGCAGAAATACTCCTCTGTCTTTACCACCGCATTCATTTTACATTAAGGGAAATTTAGAGGTGGGCTTGCAAGAGGCCAAATTTTTAGCTTTCTGTCAAATTACATAGGTCCTCCGTAGAATGTAGCTGCGAGATTTCAAGGGGCTTTAATAGTCAATTTATTGATATCCTAGTGATGCCTTTGTTACTTTGTTGGTGACTGATCCAGTTATATCTATGGTTTTAAGTGCCCCTCTGCAATGTATTGCCAGTATGTGGTTGCTAGGCCTAGCTTGTTGCATCTGTAAGCCATAAATTGGGGACTTTAGAATTTCACTTCATTGACTAGGTGGGGATTACCACTTTAGAATGAGAAAAGCTGCATTTGCCATCTTTTCTATTTTTAAGAATTAGAAAGCTGCATTTGGACAACTGGCTTGATATTCAACTAGAATAAAGCGTATCCAGAATCTTGCAGTCAGAAATGCTCTGGTTAGAGAAGGAAACTTGTCAGGAATCAAACTAGTGCATGAATTTATTCATTCATGATGGGATATTTTTTTGGTAGTCAATGGGTGCAGGTACTAAATATGACCTATGTATGAGTTGTTTGATTGTGCAATGGTGGTGTGTTTTGGTTGAATGTTTTGAAAAAGCCATGAAATATGGCATCTATTCGCCATGTTTGCTTTGATTGTCAGTACATGGATCCAGACATTTGCGTTTTCTTTGGTATTTACCTGTAATTTGGTTTGGATGGGTAAGTAAATTTGACCAAAATAAATTTGGTGTGTGATGAGAACTTTAATTGCTCATGTTTAATTGTTAATTGCTTAACCAGGGCATACATGTTAAAGCCAAGGACTATTATAATTATTGATTTTTAGGTGTACGTGAAGCCAGGAAGGAAGCTGTGACAGTTCTTGTTAATAACTCTGGCTCTGGCTTCCTCTCTTCTGTTCTGGAACTTCTACTGGACTACTTGGGCTTGCTTGTTAATTTTTTTCCTTTTGTTTGAGATTTTAAGTCATATTATTGTTAGATGGTTTGCAGGTTCTTCTGTTCCACCTTACTTCTTGTGATCCATACATAGCTGATATAACTTTACTAGCAAATGCTGATATTACAAATTGAACATCTTTTATTGTGGATTGCAGATTTGAAGGTCAAATTTCAGGAAAGAACATTGAAATTGGAATAATTGGCACTGACAAGAAGTTCAGGTAACATCTCTTATGTGAACTTCTCTGTAATATCTGTGGCGAAATCTTGAAATTTTTTCAAAATCTGTTGGTGGATAAGTTTCTCTGTGATTGCTTATACTTTTCGGTACATTTATCCATTGTGAATGTGAAGCAGTATGAACTTTAACATTCTTGACAAGAAGTCGTTTCACTTATCTTTGGAAGAACTCTAATTAAATTTTCTTGACTCAATCTAAGCTGTCTTAAAGAGTTCTAGCTATTTTGGGTAGCTGACATGTTTTCTAATTGAATTGAGTTTTCAAAGTATACCAAAAGTCTTTCTTTGGCATATATAATCATCAGTAACTTTGTACTACATCTGAACATGTGCTAGCACCTTATAAGATAAAATGCCACAGAATCTCACATTAAATTTGCTGTTTTTTCTTGTACTACATCTGAACATATGCCAACATTGGTGTAGATGGGTCAAGTAAGATTTCCAGGCAGACATAAAACATGATGATTGGAAGCTGAACCTGTCACTAGAGTTGGGAATGGAGACGCAATGAGTCAGACTTGAATGAAATATCTTGCTTTTTTGATTTACACTGTGAAGTCTAGAATAGACATAGCATTGAGAATTATGTGACCAACATATCAGCATTTTTTTGGAAAGAAAATGATAGCTATTTTCTGATTTGATGTGAAAATATTAATGCTTATGCCTTTGTACTACACAATGAAGTTTAACACGTGCTTAAGGTATGGATCTCCTGGGTGCGTCCATGTTATTCTTCATTGTCGAGATAAATATGAAGAGCAATATACATTCTGTTTTTCCTATAAGATGCAAGGACATTGGTTATTGCGCTTTGTAATCTCATGCTGCAAAATATTAATGCTTATGCCTTTGTTGCCTATGCTTAATGAGGTATAGCACTCCAGATTTTTGCTTTACACGCATGTGTAACTTAAGTGCAATTTCTCCCATGCAGGGTGTTGACTCCAGCAGAAATTGATGATTATTTGGCAGAAGTGGAGTAACTTGGTTCATTCTTGTATACCAGTTTATGAGGTCTGGGCACATTCTATGAGTGGTTCCGTGCATTAGCATGACGATTACTGTAGCTTGGACGTTTAGGTTTCGACAAGTCAGAAAAGCCCAATTGTATTGGACAGAAGGTGGATTTTGTTCCAGTTTGAACGGTTGCAGCAAGTTATGAGCGCTAAATCCTTTCGATTTTATGGCCAGAACGCGAAATCCACACTTTTAAGTGATGAAACTGTGCTGCTTATATTTTAATCTTGCTGAACTCTTTTAAGCTTTGTATTTTGGGCCCTCTACCCTTATTAAGCTGCAATGGGGCAGAAGTGATTTGATTCAAAGGCTTCCGATCCATAGGGGCTCACGACTCCTGGGATGACCTTTCTTGATCAGCGTCACTATCTGATTTCACTTTTCTATTATCTTCAAGAAGGACCGCACAGATGAACGGGGTACTGGAGAATGAGAATTTCATTATCCATAGTACCCAACAAATAGTACGAGACAGAAGCACTGCGTATGATTAGGGGCTACATTTTTGCCTCAAGCCTTGATTCTTGTGGGATCAGGCTTTTATGAGAGAGTATCTCAGATACATGAGGGGAAAAAATATTCAGTTACCCATACAATCACTCATGATACTTTTTCTCCTCGTGTTCACTTTGTAGCCCAAGGTTCATATTGTAGAGGGGAGAGGCAGCATTTCTCTTCACAAAAGAAGTAGGTTATCCAGTTTACAATTACATGACTGACATCACCTTATGAGTCATTAGTAGGTAGAAGGCACATCATCCAGCAAAGAAGAAGTTTGAATGTTAATTGGCGTTACTACTTTATAATTCTGGTCAATTCTCTCCGGGTCATAGTTGAAGCGAATGCATTGCAGCCGTCATCGAAAATGAAACGCATTTGCTTTGAGATGTGTTTGTGGATTTAAGTTCTCGTTGATCTCTGTTTCCTCCACGATACTTCTCCACTTGTCATCGTAAAACTAAGAGATGCCGACCATTCGTCTGATTTGTGGATCAGTGCAAGTGAAGGTGGTCTTAGGACTTGAATTCTGGTTCATGACCCAGATTCTATTTGTTGTCCTTCGTCTCCATGAGCCTTCCGCACGTATATCAGCATTGCCCAATTCAATATCACAGGTCGGCACATGTTTGGTGCTCATGCTACCGAGAATTTCAACTCATGCACCCGCCCTTTACCGCATTTGAGGGTACCTCCATGCTAGTGTCGATGGACTTTTTGATTGCTAAGTTACCCGAGTTCAATCCCGAAATGTTTGGAAGTTTCCGTCGTTGCAATACGGCCCTATAAGATTGGCAGAGTTGTCAACATATATGCCATAGATCACAAAGTTTGCTCTCCGTGATGAGCAGCCGATGCTCGGTTTAATATAATATTTACCGGCCGGGTGTACTGGGTGAAATTCCTAGACAGAGTTATATTAATGGAGAAAAACTGCAGTTGGCCACTGCTTTGGACGATTGTCACATGGGATATGAAAGTAAGGCATCGTTTTCACATCGAGACAAGCACATGAAAACACAGCAAGTCCCCATGTGAGAAGCTCAATCCACCCATTAAGACAAAAAGACAGTGACTCCGCTCCACCAGGATGGAAAGACCCAAAAGACCAGACACTACCCTCTTCCTTTTGGTTCACACGATAGACTCGATATAAAGCACACCAGAAGCACGCTATTTACACTTGCCATGAAACATGAAGCAAGGATCATCAATAAAACACATAGCTGGATCTAGAATTACTAAACCATGAACTACTGACTACTGATCATAACCATGACCATATGGTTTATGCTCGACTGATTCGGGGGCGAAACAGATCGGAAGATGCTCTGTTTGATCTCGCGACGTAGATAACAGAGTCTGAAACCGCACAGGTTTGCTTGCAAGAAGCAAGATCAACAAACCCCAAGCCATTGCTTATCCTCCTTGAGACCCTGGCCACAGCCCAGTGATTCCCGGTCATTTCTCGGCCGGCGTCCTTCGAGCACTTGACGAACGCCGAAACGAAAGGGTCTCTCTTGCTGTACCTTGTGGCGGAGGTCGTTCTGCTGAGCCTGTGTTTCTTGGAGGACAGAGAAGAAGCAGCAGCAGCAGCGGAGGCAGCAGGAGGTAAGGGAAGCAGGGGGCTGGCGGATGGAGATCCTGCCATCTTCCAGGACAATTGGTTCTTGGGGATTCCTGGAATCTTTTCCCAGGAGAAGGGAACGCCGGAGGAGGCGACACGACCGAGGGGGTAGGATGGAGATACAGATCCACGACAAAGTCCAGGGAAGTCTAAAGGTTCAAGAAAAGAAGGAGATGAAGATGAAAGTGATGATGTTGAGGGAGAAAGGGCAGGAGTTCTGCGGGAAGATGGACACTTCAGTGTTAACAGAGAAGCTGACGAATCCATCGTGTTGATGAAGAGAGAGATCGAGAGAGAGAGAGAGAGGGGCTCTGTTACATCTATTTCTCTGTTCTTTGATCTTCGTGAGTGTTATGTATATATAGGCGAGCTCAGCCGGTGGGTGTTGTCATCCCTCAGGCGTTTGGACAAGGATACAAGGAAGCGAGGAAAAATAGAAGAGGGAAGAGATGTTATTTAACTGACATAACGACCCCCTTCAGCATTGATGACACATTGGCACTAACCACATGGGGGAAGAAGATCATAGGAAGCAAAATTTAAGAATGTTTTAGGTGGATCCAAAATCTCAAGTGTAGGTAGCATCAGGTTATCATCGGATTGGTGAGGGGATTCGGTCTTGTTGAGTCTATGTGCAATTTCGATGAAGTAAATAGGCGCGCTGATTAGGGAAAAAGACTGTAAGCGAACCTCGCTTCGAAATGTTAGGAAATCATGCATATGTATGCACGTACCATACATGTCTGGTGAAACTTCTCCATAGCAATTCTGGTCGTGGGGCGATTCGATTTTGCAAGGTACTTTCGAAGAACGTTTCGAATTAAGAAAGAATTATTAGACCGGACCTTATATGGATGGGGAATATGTTTTAGTTATCTAAATCAGGAGTTATCCCCGTCATCGGTAAAGAGCCTTTTAAGCACCTTTCATGTATGAAGGCTACGAGATTTCTTCATAAAAACTTTCATAGATGAAAAAATCACTGCGATAAGAAAAAAATCCTCATTTATATCTCGTTGAAAGATTATTATATGAGGAAAATTGTCCAAAGAGTCATAAACGTATTGCATTTTTGGCCAATTCAGTCATAAACCTTTTCAATTCTGGCCAATTGAGTCATAAGCCTTTTCACTTCTTGCCAATTGAGTCTATCCGGCCAATTTTGATAAGAAATCGCTGATGTGACACCATTGGTGTTGACGTGGACAATTTTTAATTAATTTTTTTTATAATTTCCTTTTCTTTTTCCTTCCTTTTCTTTTCTTTTCATTTCTTTTCTTTGTTTATTTTCATCTTCTTCTTCCTCCGGTCACTGTCCTCCTCGATGGCCGGCGACCGGCCATAGGGGAGAGCTGGCGAGGGCCGACCTTGCCAACCGACCGAGGGTTGCCGAGGTGGGCAAGGTCCTCTCGTTGGTAGCTGGCGAGGCTGATCCTCGCCAAATCGAAAAAATAATAATAAATCATTAAAAATTATCCACGTCGGCATCGATGGTGCCACGTCAGCGATTTCCGGTCAAAATTGATCGGATGGACTCAATTGGCAATAAGTGAAAACGTTCAGGACTCAATCGGCAATAACTGAAAATGCTCATGAATAAATTGGTAACAGTACGGTTGGTTTAGGACTTTTTGGATAATTTTATCTTATTATTTGTTATGATCAGTTCTGTCCATCTTAAACGTCACACCGGCATCGGATCGAATTAAGAATTTTCCTGGACAAGAAGCTTAAAAACCCGTCAATTATTTACGCGTGCGATGCATCTAATCCATCGCAATGGTGAAGAGAAAGAGCACGGGATTTCCTATGCAAAAGGAAGTGCGAAGACAAAAGAGGCTTTCGACATCGCTCCTTCTTGAGCGGGGGACGTGCATCGTCCACGGCTCGAGCCCCCCCCCGTGCACGTGACGGAGGGCTTTTTGTCCGCTACCCGCACGTGAAGCTCGTTGGGCCCCACCTCCTCCTCATGACGGCTGCTGACGTCACCTCCGCCTTCGTTACTTTTGAGGCTCGTGATCTCGGGTTTTCGGCTTGTTCCGCGAAAAAACACGCGATTCGAAAAATACGTTTCCCAAAACGATCGCTCGCGTTCGCAATTAAATGGATAAACGAAAATAATTTTTTTATCGTCCGTGAAAATGTCTAAGATTCAAATTATCATCGATAATGAAAATATTTTTTGTCGGCTAAATATTTCGGGCAATAAAAATTTCTTTTTTTCAAAATTATTTATCTTTTTCGAAACAAATGAAGTATTGTCTCGAGGACGACCGAACGTCCATGTCTAATCCAAATATGGCCTTACTTGATTAGGCGCGCTGATGAAGTTTAGCCATCTAATCAATCTCTTGTGGCTGGGATCCGTCGCAATTAAAATTGACCCATTTCGTCCCACATAGGTCCCCCCCCCCCCCCCACAATAAACGACTGCACAGTCTTGTCGAAGTCTCACTCAAACTGCAAGTCCTTGAGAATCCAGATCTTCCATGTGAGATCACGTGCAAAGTTTTTAATGTGGGTTCATTTGAACCTCTCGATCGTTCGACAAATCAGCGGAAGTGTTTATCTTTATATGCCCATCTATATCTATCAATGCAGCTCGGCCTACCTATCCAAGCATATAGAAGATTGCATGATGAGGATTGATATCTAACTCGCTTGCCGCCATCCGGGTCTTTTTTTTTGAGCTTAAAGATTTTCTAGGTGACATTAGTTGTTTAGGCAAAGATTATGCCTTTTGGATTTATGCGATACGATGGTCGGAATAAGACCCGCTTCTTTGAAAGTAGCTAGTCGTATAATATGATGTTGTTTGATCATGCGCGCTTCATACAAGACTTCGCTGTTCAGAAAAAAAATCGAATCATTAAGCTCGAAAGGAGGCATTCCGAAGATTGAAAGAATAGGATGAGGCAACGACTTATCATGAAACTAAAGAGTCACGATCGGCTTCCGCGTCTCGCGGTTGTTATCTCTCGATCTTGACAGATAAGTAACCTGTGCATTCGCTGCAGTCACCATGTCCAAAATTCAAGACGGATGAGAAGTAATCGTTGTCCATGGCATGGAAAGGGAGCGAGAGCTTGTTTGTTTCCATCAAAGCATAACCCATTTTTGCTTTCTTTCCAGAAAGTTCAAAATATTTTCTTTAAATTTGAAATAAAAATAATATAATTTAAATGCGAATCTATGTTTGCGAAAGTTTCACGAGGTGTTCCGCGCTTACAAAAGGTCAAAAATACGGTGCCGTGGGACCTAAATTAAGCAAGAAAAAACAAAAGTAATACGGACTTCATTGAATGTTTTGGCGATGCTTGGCGTTCATGTGATTTTCATAAAGAAGTCGATGCGGTTGAATTGGCCCGGCTCCGTTTGTGGCCCAGGCTTTGCCACCTCTTCTTGATGTGGTTTTCTTTTATACTATAATCTTATTGTTGTGCTTTTTCAAATGTTACAACCGTGGTAGAACAGTACCCTTTTACCCCGCGTTTGGGAAATGTGGAAAGATAGGGAGGAGCGAAAATTAGACCGGAAAAAAAAAAAGATGAAACATTCAAAACTCTTGTGAGAAGAAAGAATCAAGATCTGAAATTATATGAATTTTTTCCTTTTTACATGGTCCACCCGCACGGTGTTTGCCAAACACCTAAACACCACCTTAGTGATGTGTTGTACAAAGACGCTCGGTACGGTGCGATGTGAAGTCGACCGACCCCAATGAAGTTCTACTCGTTTATCAATAAATATATATTATTTATCGCATAGTTTATTAACAGCTATTGAGTGTCAAAACATATGTGATTGCACTGTTTTATTTTTTTTCTTGTAGTAGGTGCTAAGTCTAGCCCATTCTATCTTTCGAAAAATTTGACAAGCCCATGTTGCCACGCTAGGAAGGCCGGGCGCCACATTCCAAAAACCGTAAAGGGTTTTTGCTCCATCTTGGAATTTGGGCATCGAGGCCTTTTAAGAAATTGATATGGCCCAATTCCCTAAAAAACCCCCAACTTTAGCTTTTGTCCCAATTATATCCCAAACTTTTTTTTGTCTCATAAAAAACCCCAAACTTTTACTTTTATCCCAAATCTACCCAGTTAACTTTTCGTCCAAGTTTTTAATATTACTTTTTATTTTTTCGAATTTTTTCTTTTCTTTTCTTTTTCCTTTCCTTTTCTTTTTTTTTTGTTTCACCTTCCGGGCCGTCGGTCCTGGCGACCGGCCAAAGGCGGGGCCGGCGGGGGCCGAGCCTTGCCGTGGCCGGGCGAGGCTCGGCCTCGCCAGAGGCCGGCGTGGCCGAGTTCTCGCCGATCCGGCGAGGCTCGGCCCGTCGGCAAGAATCGGTGAGGCCGACCTCGCAGATCCGGCGAGAACTCGGCCACGCCGGCCGCCGGCGAGGCTCGGCCTCGCCGGCGTTGGACTCGGCCGACCTCGCCAATAGCCGGCGGGGCCGAGCCTCGCTGGCGGCCGGCGGGGCCGACCTCGCCTCGCCCAGCTGGCGGTCGCCCGGACCGGCGACCGCCGAAGGTGAAACAAAAAAAAAAGAAAAGGAAAGGAAAAGAAAAGAAAAGAAAAATAAAAAATTCGAAAAAATAAAAAGAATATTAAAAAATTGGACGAAAAGTTAACTCGGTAGATTTGGGACAAAAGTAAAAGTTTGGGGTTTTTTATGAGACAAAAAAAGTTTGGGATATAATTAGGATAAAGGCTAAAGTTGGGGGTTTTTTAGGGAATTGGGTCAAAAGTGGGAAAGGTTGTGAATTTCAAGCGATTCAATTTATAGATGGTGGGCTCATCAGGCCCTGATGAAGCCCTTTGATTTCATAGTCACCTTGTCCGGTCAGAAGAAATTTAGCTAGACCTTCATCATTGCCAAAGCCAATATAATGTGAATTTGCCATCGTTTATATAATTCTAACTAGCGACGGGTACCGTTGTGTACTTTAAAATTTATATGTAAAGTTGATATAGCAATTGAAGTAGTGATTGTGACTGGACATTTAAACCAGCGGACCATATTCATCCTTTAATCGGTCTTTATTACATAACTTTGTATATCGAATTTGGAAAGCAATATTCATACACAGTGATATTGAAGATTAATCAATAGAAATTTGGCCCCTCACTGGTTCGCGACTTTCTAAATCTACAATCACTTATGCTCTAGATAGAAGTAGCTCTAAAAGTGGTGATCATAACTTGAAAAATCATGTACATTGCTCGAGTAAACGACTTACACATTGGTCAATTAAATTCAATATAGTAATACTTTGTTGGTAATTGAAAATGAAAAACTCGTCGCAAGGAATACTTATTTGCGTAAAGAATTGAGTTTATTCCTTTGATTTTCTGGTGAAATTCCAAATAAGGGCCTGAAGTGCCTTCATTTTCTTAAATAAGGGCATGAA